TCATTAAAAGCTTGTACTACCCAACATTTTATTATATTACCGAAATATACCAAGATATACATAATTATTATTAGAATGGGTTTTGTGGAGATTTTAGAAATTTCACAGATTGAAATCATGAGTCAGTTGAAGCTAGACCACCATTGAAAACCTGGAAGCACTGGACGGCCGTTTCGTCCTAGTATGGGACTCCTCAGCAGTGCGCATCCACGATCCCGCACCACGCGGGGCTCGAACCCAGGACCTACTGGCTTCGCGCGCGAGCACTTAACCATTAGACCACTGAGCCGGCATCCAACGGTGTTAATGTCTAACTTCAACCAATCCACGAAGTTGCGCCACCGTACACCATTGTCTTCAGTGAGTTACTATCTCACAACAGACCTGGTTGAACTCCACTGGTAACGGCTTCTCACTAGAACTTCGGGAGTTTTTCATGAAGTCAGTCACTAGTGAGCAGTTGATTATTATTATTATTAGAATGGGTTTTGTGGAGATTTTAGAAATTTCACAGATTGAAATCATGAGTCAGTTGAAGCTAGGTTTTCAATGGTGGTCTAGCTTCAACTGACTCATGATTTCAATCTGTGAAATTTCTAAAATCTCCACAAAACCCATTCTAATAATAATAATAATCAACTGCTCACTAGTGACTGACTTCATGAAAAACTCCCGAAGTTCTAGTGAGAAGCCGTTACCAGTGGAGTTCAACCAGGTCTGTTGTGAGATAGTAACTCACTGAAGACAATGGTGTACGGTGGCGCAACTTCGTGGATTGGTTGAAGTTAGACATTAACACCGTTGGATGCCGGCTCAGTGGTCTAATGGTTAAGTGCTCGCGCGCGAAGCCAGTAGGTCCTGGGTTCGAGCCCCGCGTGGTGCGGGATCGTGGATGCGCACTGCTGAGGAGTCCCATACTAGGACGAAACGGCCGTCCAGTGCTTCCAGGTTTTCAATGGTGGTCTAGCTTCAACTGACTCATGATTTCAATCTGTGAAATATACATAATTATTATATTTCGATTTCAATCAATATAATTTCAGCGGTCAACTCGACAGAAGTACTTCTGCTGTCTTTTGACCACTAAGATGTTTTCGTCATTTTTTTGAATAAATTACATATAGCATATTAATCCATTTTTGTATTGGTTGTTTGACGTTGTTCAAGGTAATATCAAGCAATCAGCACAGGGTGCACATATGTTAATAAGAGACTGATTAACTGCGACCCTAAAAATCAGTAGGAAGACCCAAACAACCAATGCAAAAATGAATTAAAACCTGACCTCATTACACAAGCTAATGACTATCAGGACTCAGTAGCTAAGTGGATAACGTGATAGTGTTTGAAGCAAACTGTACTGGGTTCGAGTCTCGGAGTGAACATCAACTTTGGAGTGCAGGTACATCCAACTGATGAGTTTCAAATAGAACGAAACGAGCATTCTGGATTACACTCCTATCCATCATCCATCTCTGTTCATACATGTAATATAGTACAAAAATTCGTCATTCAAAGAACTTCAATCCCAGACTAAGATATCATGAAAAACCAATGAAAACGTATCCACTATTCATTCATCAATTTATCATAACGTTCGGTGTTTCATTACTTGTACCCAGACATAGTGAAATCAAGATTCAAGTAGAAGGAGCTACTTATTCATAAAGTCAGTCTAAGTATGTATATTAACTAAGCGTTTCGATTAAATTAATAAAACACCTGATTACTTTTGTCAAGAAAACATTTATTATAAAGTTTATCAACTAATACCATGGTTTCTTTACTAACGTTAACAACATTTAACTTGATAACTTCAGGCCTCCAAATGCCCTGGTACGGCCGAGAGTGGAGAGAGTTAGCTCTCCCTCTCGAAATCCTCTCACATGGCCGCGTGCATACAAGCACTGCCAGGGAAGTCCTACTCACTGCCTTCTCACGCTATGTGTATTGTTTACGAAATCGAGAGAACAAAAAGCGAATGTCCAGCGCTTTAATCCGGTTGGTAGATACGAAGAGTGTCCACCTAGGGGAGTTGGAAAACCGTGGTTTCAAACCAATGTTACCCATGATCTCCAGGATCCTAATGCAATAAATGGCGTCTGAACCAATTTTTGGTCACCGGATACTATGGGAATGCATCTCCTGACGTTGCTCCACTGCCTTGTAGATCAGACCTTTAGATGGGAGGCTCTGAGTGTGGCCCCCGTAGAAAATCAGCTGTTTCTTTTTGGGCACCAGGAAAGTATCACAGACCTCATACAAATCGAATGATTTATGTGTTGCATATCTATTTGATGACTTCTTGTACCAATGTTCATGTGTTCAAATAAATAGGAATAAATGATAACTTCAGATAAAATGAACTCTTAGCAAATTGATTTTTATAATAGCAGTAAAAAAAATAGTCCATAAAACTTAGCTTAGCAACATACACAAAGTTATCAGAATGTTAAAAATTCAATATTTTCACTTATCTAATATATCTAAATATTATCAAAATAAAAATAATTTTGATGAACTAATTCTCATTAATCATTAATAAAAAAAAACAGTTTTCTTCTAAAAAAAGAAAAAAATTTATTTTTTTTCCAGAACGAATCATGAACTCATTTTAAAAAAAATTGACCAATTAAATTATTTTTCAAAAAAATTTTAATATTTTTAATTTTATGTGATACAATCTGTTAACAATGAAAAAAGAAGAAAAAAAACGTTAAAAGTTTATTTGATTACTTCTATTTAATTTAATAATTCAATGTTATTTAAAAGTGATATTTACTATTACATCATTATTAGAAGGGGTTTTGTGTAGATTTTAAGAAATTTCGATACTTGAAACCATGAGTCAATTAAGGCTAGACCATTATGGAAAACCTGGAAGCACTGGACGGCTGTTTCGTCCCAGTACGGGACTCCACTGAAGTGCTCATCCACGATCCTGTCCCCTATTAGATTGATAAGTCCTGGGTTCGAATTTTGCGGAGGACGAGATCTTGTATGCGCACTGCTGAAGAGTCCCATACTAGGAAGAAACGGCCGTCCAGTGCTTTCAGGTTTTCCATGGTGATCTAGCTTCAAATGACTCATGGTTTCAAATATTACATCATTATCAATGATTGATTTGAACGAATTATTTAAATATGTAAACAATGTTCACGATAAAATTAAATTCATGAAGAAGTTGCAATCTCTTGAATGCAAATGAACTTTTCTAAAATGTTATGTTGAAAGAAAATATAATGATTGTTTAAAAATTAATATTTTCCAAAAACTGGCATATTCAAGGAGATTTGTAGATTTTAAGTTAGCAAATTCACACCCAATCAATGTGACAATGAACAAATGTTTGATCATCAGAGTTTGAAAACTTGTCACTGAATGAAATGATATAGAAGTGGAAGTGAATTTAATCATATTCACTTTAATGATAAATAATTATCCAAAGGATTTTATTAAAAGAATAATTAAGAACGAATAACGAGACGATATTATTAAAGAGGTTAAGCAAAAAGAATGAGCTAGCACAGTGGTGATCCCATATCGTAAAGGCATTTCAGAAGAGATCAAAAGGATCATAACTCTTCAAAATATAAAAGTATTCTTCCGAACAAACAATACTCTAATATCAAAAGTTGTAAGAAAAAAGCGTACATTTTTATAGAGATGGATGGTGGTTAGCAGTGGAATTCAGGACGCACGTCTCGTTCAATTTAGGTTTTGTTGGCAGGATGTGCCTGAATTGCAAAGTTCATGTTCATTCTAGGGATAAAAGTAGATCTAACTGAAGAGCCTCTGATAAGACGAATCCCCATTCTGGATTCCAGTGCCAGCCACTATCCATCTCTGCTCATAATGCTTGTGACTCAGAGCAATATCGAGGCAATCCTTACAACGTGCACATATGCCAATAACAGACTGATCGATTGCAGTCCTAGACATCAATGGAAAATGTCAAACAACCAATAAAATTGTCAATAAGGAGACACCTTGAAAAATGAAATATCCATAATATCTTAATCTGCTATTAGTTTTTTTCGAATAACTAAGTGAACAAACAATAGACTAAACAATTCAAAAGTCTAGTAAAAACCATGTTTTAAAAATCGAAATGCTTGATGTATTTAAGTTCAGAGGATATATATATATATATATATATATATATATATTTCAAACATTAGCATAAAATCAGCGTTGCAAAGCCTTAAGCTTACTATAAGAAGATCGTTTCATGATATCAATAGAATATTGAAATCATTCTTTATTAAACACCATCAAATAACTGTTAGATTTAAAACGTCAACCCATTATTATTCGGTCTAATTTAAAGACCCTGTTGATACTGATCAATTGAAAGTTAGTTTTCACTACTCATCAGCGAATAGAGAGCTTTGAACAGACATTGTTTCCTAGTTAAAAACACATCAACAGTCCTCACTCAATAGTTCAACTTCAGTCATTCAAGTCTCACAATAGATATGATAAATTTAATGATTATAAAATTATATATTACAGTATACTTAGTTTGATAATGAATAAAATGAAATTAATGAACTCTTAATAATTAGATTTTTAATGGGCTATAAAAAGAAGCCTCATTTTATTTACTTTTCTAGATCAACTTAAATTTATTGGTGTTTAAATGATTATCAAGATACCTTTTTTTTCCTTAAACTATAAAGTTCCCAGAAAACATAAAAAGAGTAATTTAATCAGTGATACATTCTAGTGCTTATTTGCTTGGTAGCTTATTATAACCCACATGATCATCTCATTTAACTTGTTACTATCAATTATGAATATAATAATTTAATGACAGGATGTTCAAGTTAGAAATATTTTTAAAAAAATCTTAACGAAATCAATACAGTTAAGATAAACCATAAGTGTACATCTCACATTATTCATATATATTCAACATTAATTAAATCATCTAATATACTAAAGAAAGAGAAGAAAACTATATAAATATTACTGAATAAGAAATAAATCTAACTTACTTGTACTTCAATCCCAGCTAATGCTATTTTTGCTTTACGTATTTCATTCTCTTTACGATAAATATCATCATGCATATTCAAGTTTGTATGCTCAGTTTGAGTATCAAAATCAAATCTTGAACAGAAAAGAATTTTAATAACATGTTTTGTAAATATGAAATATATAAATCATAATGTTGATATGTTTATAGAATGGATATATAGTAAGTGGTTCACTAATGAATAATTTTATCTATTGTTTTATAGAATTTTTGAAGATTGATAACATTTCATAGTTTGGACCACGAATTGATCTTCTTGAATAAGCCATCGAAAAGCAGAAAACATTGAAAAAGTTTTCGTCCTAGCATGAAACTCTTCAAAACCATACATCTGTGACCTCAATGAGATTTAATGTTGGACTTTTAAATATAGCTATGTATGTATTCTACTAGGACTATTGGATTGGAATCTAGTAGTATACATGTCTAACTTCAATCAAATCAATATATTGGTAAAACACATTTCTTTTTTTTCAATGTGCAGTAACAGTGCACCTGATATAGTTATGTTATTAAGACAGACTATGGAAACTGTAAAATCTTCAATACTTTTAAATCCCGTATTAAGATAATCGTGCATTCACTAGTAACCAGCTTCAAGATGTCACTACCGGATTTTTAGTGACAATTCCTGACCAGTGGAGTTTGAAAAAGCCGGTCATAAAGCGGTTACTTACTGAAAAGAATGGAATGTGTTTTACCAATATATTGATTTGATTGAAGTTAGACATGTTTACTACCAGATTCCAATCCAGTAGTCTTAGGAGAATACACACATAGCTATATTCAAAAGTCCCAGTTTAAATCTCATTGAGGTCACAGATGCATGATTGTGAAGATTTTCATCGGTCGATGATATATGCTGAACCGTTTGTCTAACCAAGAGATTTAGTTATCACTGAAATTCCCACTTCGAATAAATAAATTTCTAAACACTGATCTTATCTACTATCTGTTTCGAAAGACTTTTAAAAACGACGCTTACGTTTTTCGAAAAATGGCAATAAATTTTAGATATTGGATCAATATAATTATTAAGACCAATTAACCCAGCGTTCATTTTCATAAGTGTATGCATGTTAATTCAACTAAATAAACATGGGGAATCCAATGATGCTCATAACGTTTTCTATCTACCTTAGCAATATCCTATAGAACAATAATTAAAATAAACTAATAGTTGTTATTATTCAAACGTTAGTAAGTTTAGAGAAAACGTATACTATTAACCAAATAAGTTTCGTTAACATTACAAAACCATTTGTGTTAGAGAAAAAAACATCAGCACTATAGTTCAAATCTTCACGGTTTATACTCGGTTTCATTTGATCAAATAAAGGTGAACGAAACAAGACAAAAAATGATCCTTATTCATATTGCACTACATGATCACTGAATGTAAAGTAATTTTACAATGAAAACTTTAGTCGTTATTAATAAATATGTTTCATTTCGTCTGAACTTCACAACGTTCAAAGAAGTCATTCATCACAAGCACATTTGAGTATCCAACTGCGTTATGTAATAATTAAGCTTACTAAATTAATTGCGCTTAAGCGAATAAGAAAGTTCTGTAAGTTTCAAGCTCATAACATTAATAATTCTTCCCTTAAACTATGAGACTAAAATTATTTCATATCTTTCTTTCTGTACTATATCCTTACATAAAATCTTCCTTTATATATTACACCATTGAGTTAACTGTTTCTATGAATCCGGTGTTCGCCATGTTGTGCTAATAAGGTATGGCAACTTGAACCGTTGCATGGATTCGCCTGGTCCTACATTATAACTGACTGACTCTTCAATGTCATACTAACTAGATCACAAATTGATTTTAATTTTCTCATCTTTATCCATATCTCAAAATTTCACAAAAAAAAAACCATATTTAAAAATAAATATTTTAAGCAAAAACAAAAGCTTTATTTTTATGAAGGTACAATATTATCATAGTGTTGTTAGCAACTACAATTATAATCTTGTCAATATAGTATCCATCTGAAGTATAAATCTTCATCACACAATAGCATGTTAATATAAGTATACATACAAAACAAATGAAATATGCAATTCTGTTTTTACTGATTTATCGCTAATTAATGAAAAGCCTATATATTTATCATATCTAACCAAATACATTACATTTTCTTATTACATTCAGGTAATTTTATCATATCTATTTTGATCAAATAATAAAAAGAAAAATACAATTCATTCATTCATTCACATTATCAATCTGAACATCATACTTTTCTAATAATCTGTCAATCAGTTAATTATACAAACAGGAAATACACACTGTATTCATGATAGAATGAGATTGTCATAACCAAATTGATAAGCTTGAACAAAAATAAAAATTAATTTATTACTTTTGTTTATTTGAGATGAGCTGCTAGAAACATTGAATAATTAATTAGAACTGTCTATTTAAAAAATAAGTAGTATCTATTGCAATAATAAAATCTTTGAATCTCTATTTAATAAATATGGATGTATTTTCCCCCTAAGAACGGATAGATCACGTGTTTTTACAAAAAATTAAAAAAAAGTTTTTCCCTTTGTTTTTAAAAGTAAAACTTTCTATATTTTCTAACTTTCGGTTAAATGACGTAATTAGGAAGTTAAAGTTACGTAATGACGTCACAATGAAATCTCTACACAGGAAACAAAACAAAAAATCATAGAATATTGATAGAAATAAATCTATAAAGTCAAGCTTCATGTTTTAGCTTAAAAAAAATTATTGGCTTTTCAGTAGGAAAGTATATTTTCTATTGAAAACAACATGATTGAAACCTTGATCTGAATATCAGTTTGAGACAGAAGCTTTCATTTGTTTTTTAAAGACTATGTAAAATGTGGTGCTTTCAAATGCAGTGCCGCAGTTATGCAATTCTACATTTAATATAATTAAAACAGTTTTTTAAAAGTAAATAATACTTAAATGTGAAATTTGACAAACATTTGTAGTGTTAATGTAGTTAACTCCAACCATATTTAAGCCATGAATCAAATTCATCTTTAATTGTTGGTTATTATTACAAAGCGAAAACAGAATATGTTTGTATGTTGTACTCTTTATTGAGTGTATATGTTTTATTGCGTTTCTAAAACTCATCGGAAAAAAATGGAATATATGATCAGGAATTTAAAGTTCTCCAACACATGTGACATAAACTAATTATTAAGGTTTATTTTACGTTGAACATTGATGATGAACTTGTACTTTAGTACAAGTGCCCATAAGTTTCCTAACTGTTTTATTCGATTATATCAAGCAACCATCGTATTATTCGCAAACTGAATAAATCATCTGTCATAGCGGAGTGTTTGATTCAAATCTCTGTGACATTATTTTCATCAAGCTTAGATATATGACTTGTAAATGAGTGTTAGCCAACGAGAAAAAAAAGTGTACATCAATCATTCTATGACAATATGACCTATTCTTCCTCTTACAAGTTTTTTTAAGACATTTATTCCGTTTTACATATATAGATAATGCAGAATAAAAATGACATTTGTTGGAAATTTTCATCAATTAAACGGTTACATTTTTTACATTGTTAACCAACATGTTCTTTTAAACAAATAAAATTCAGTTATTTCGAAAAATCTGTATGAAAATATCTAATCTTAAATTATACTAGTGTCAAGCAGATTTACTTAATATTAATATTTGAACAAATATCTTTAGGCCAAAATAGTGTTCTATTTAACATACAGCAATAAACCACATCCTTTTGTACATAAGTATCTATTATATTTAATGATAATCACTGATTAGGATCTTATTGCTTGAACCAAGTTAGACATCACTTAGTCATTCTTTGAATATCCATCTAATATATATAGACTAATTTCGAAATCCACTTGATTAATGCTTGACATACTTTTGATGAGAAAAACTTTCACAGTTACAATCTTGAGTTTAGAATAAGTTGTCACCAACTGGATATCATTTTGATAATATTTCGTGATGTTAATTCCTTGAAAAAAAATCTAGTTACTTTCATGGTGCATTTCATTTGTCATTTAATCAAAAACGTATCAGTGAAGTAACACTTATCACTCTATCTTTCTAATTATTCAGAAATTTTATTATGGTAAGAAAAACGAAAAAAAAACATTTAAAAACGATAAACAAATAACATTCTCTTACTAAATTAATACATGAATAATAAATAATAGAAATAGGTTATCCCAATATTGGATTTAGTAGAGCTTACAGTTCACTTACTTTACCAATCACTTTAGTTTTTTCGAAATCAATTACTTATAGAATTCAGACTGTTCGAGATATCCTAAAACCAAAGTATGAAAGCCATTTTTTGTGTGTTCAGGTCAGTTATAAATATTCAATTGTTATTTTCCACATTTATGTGTGATATTTATTTTTAATTAAACATTTACAACGCTAGTTACACATCGGTTAGATGGTTTACAAATTCTAATGTGTTTTATTTAAATAGATTTTTTTCTGTAAGATAACCAATGAACGTAAAAGTACTTTAAGGCGGAACTATAATTTACGGACCTACCAATCAGATTTACGATAACAGGTTTTGAATTTCCGAGTGAAATTCTTTATCCATTTGACTAAATAGCGTCTTGAAACTTGATTTGATGTCGTTTTGTGATGAAAACCCGAAACGTAATTTCTAACCATAGACATCAAATGTAAATCACAATTCTTATCTTTCACACAGGTTTAAAACCCTCATTAAGTTCTAGTTAGGAGGTGGATATTCTTAAGGTCACTTCAATGTTCCTCAAAGGTCAGCAATGAATTATAGTCTCACTGTAATCCAAAACACTAAAATTTTTGATAAATTCCCTACATGAAAACATCTCTTCAGATAAATGTTTTTTTTCTAAACTCTGACCAACACTCACTATCACTAAATTCTAACTTAATTTCTACCTTCATATTTATTTCAAATTTTACTTTGATGATATACATTTATCTATTTAATTAACGAAAAAAACACACGCTGAAACTAACAATCCCATCAGAAACTGAGAGACTAAATCAAAACTGTTTAAAATCTATTATCGGTTCATTGAT